AGGTTTTATATGGCACCTTTGAAAAAGTTAATACTTTTTTTTCATAAAATAAGTTCTTTGTTTACATTAATTTTCACTCAAAAAAATTATTGTAGAGAAAACATTTGCCTCAAAACAAACAATTTTTGCATTTTCCTAAACTTCACTCGCATTCTCTTCATGCCCCTTCAGTTATATCAGTAAAAAGTTATATATTTTTTCTGTTTATAGAAAAATCACAAATTGAACGTCTTGTTGATACTGAAGTCTGCTTAAAACAAAATATATGTACATGTGTTTTATTGTGTGATATTTTTGTTGATGTAGAAGAACTAGTCTGTTTGTATGACTTTTCTATTATACCTTACTGTTTCACTTTCTCAATAGTAAATTTAAATAAACTAAATCCATATCATACATTACTAACACTGTCATTATAAGAATTGTCAAAAAGGGGCAAACCAACATCATATAGGCCACGAGGCAGCTGTTGTGACTTTGCAGTGACCTGCTGAGCATGACTGAAGAATTCCATGTGTGGAAAGCAGCAACTCACTTGGAAAGCAGTTCATCACATGCAGTACCACACTGGAACTTGAGTATCATGATCTACAGCATAATCTATACAATGAAAATATGTCTTTAATGTCATGCAGTAAAACTGGGTTTTTGAACAAATGCAACTATAGTCAAAGTTGCAAACAGGAATGTCAGTTTTCTATGATAAGTATTCCTTTGTGTAGCTGTCTGTCTGTTTGAGTTGACAGATCCATAAAGTTAGAGACTTCAGCTACTATTCATCCATCAGAGGAAATTTTTGAACTGCTTCATCAACATCCATCTTTGTCCATACAGTCCTCTTTCATGCTAGATCCTGATTTTCAGTTTGTTGTTTTAGTAGGTTGGGCTTCTCTTAAAATTCCATAATTTTTGGTTTAAAGACATTATCATCAGTATGTTTTACAAGGTTTGGGTGAAACAATTGCAAAGGTTGTGTATGCTTCTCGCATAACCCTCAAATCCATTTGGTGAATCAAATACTCCTTTTACTACTGAGAAACGTTTGGTCACACATGTTGATGTAACAGACTCCTCTGTTGAATGCTGTTTTTAGTTGTGTATGCTTGTCGCACAATCCTCAAATCCATTTGGTGAATCAAATACTCCTTTTACTACTGAGAAACTTTTGGTCACATATGTTGATGTAACAAACTCCTCTGTTGAATGCTGTTTTTAG